TAGGCCACCGAGCTGAGCCACGAGACAACAGGTTCTATGGTGGCCAGGCACGAGCTTTCTGCAGAGCTTGCACTACAGGTGCACCTGACAGCTGTCAGCTCTCTGCCGTCTCTTCCTGTATGCAGACTTGTTGTTTTGTGCCCAGCAGCCTCTCGAATGGGACTCACAAAAGACGTGCTGTCTATGTTGGCGCACTTGTACTGACACCACTTCGGAGCCAGCTGTCACTGTTAACTTGGCCTATCCTATATGTTGACTGCACTGCCCAGGCCGACCTCATGGCAGACTCCAATGACCTCGCGAAGGCTCCAGGTCAGCGGTGCCCTCCATTTGCACTTGGCATATCTTTGTCGAACGCTGTTTGCCACAGGTCTCAGGACCCTCGAGACGTCCACTTTGGTGTTCTCCCTGCCCATCACGGGGCTTGGATCTCAGTTCTGCAGCTGCAATCCGTGACCAGCCAACATGAGACTCTACCGTGCTCCTGCATGCATTCTGCAGCCCCACCATGTGGTTGTCGCGTGTGTCTGCAGCTTTCCACAAACCAAGACACATTGATGACTTTGGTAGAGCATGGGGTCCTACAGTTGACTGCCACTACCTCTGACCACCTTGCTTCCCTTAGGGCTGGGAGACCTCTCGCCGAATACTTGCAGGTATCATCCCCTCAACTTCTTAAGTCAAGGGACTATCCTGTCATAACGAGCCCCACCTGCGCCCTTCGAGGGATCATGGAGCCTGCCTCCGAGCCTGACCGGCCGCAGTGGCAGGCGGCACTCGTCCCGCTTACAGTGGGGACCGAAGTAGAGGTGATCGACGGTCACCGACGTCATCTCGTCGGCCGCCGAGGGATTGTACTCCCTACCTTGGAGTGTGACCGCAACACTACGCGGAATGTGCGGATCATACAAGGCCCTCGGGATGAACAACGTCGTACTTTTACAATCGACAAGGAGCACCTCGCTCCCCGACTGGGGTTGGAAGCCACACAAGCTTCCATGTGTGATGGAATGGAGCCGAGTCTGAGGTGGAAATGTGCTCCCCCACCATTAACCATCTACAGCGCCCGATACCTCCTCGGCTATCAGGCCCTGGAGACCATGGTGCCTCCGGCGGCACCCAAACGGAATCCAGCTGGCCACTATATCCATCCCCCGGTGGAAGATGCTACGCTTGAGGCACCCTGGGAAAAACACGTTGACCAAGCTAGCGATCGGCCTTTTTACTACCACCCGGGGACAAAGCAGGTGACCTGGCGCAAACCTCGGCCTGCCCTGGTTCTTCCGAGGGAAGAGGAGACTGGGCCCACCAAGCCCAGGCGAGGCAAGACCGCGATTCCCCAACCTCGTACTCCGAGTCCGCCTCCTCCCAAGAGGATGAGAAAGCATCCCACCAGTGATGCTCTGCAGAACACCACGAGCTCTACGACCCAGTCTTCAGCTTCTGCCACAGCTACAGGGACACCTACTACAGAGAGGAAGCCCGCTCCGGCCTTTGATCCCCAATCTTCTGGTGGCCCTTCTGAATGGAACCTGGCCGATCATGCTTTACCTGCCTCTCCAGATCGGGTACTGATCTGGGGGGCCAAGGCCAGGACACAGCTGCCCCAACCGCCGAGTGCTCCTGCTTGTACCTTGGATGTGGAGAGGTTTCTGCAGAGCTTCTTCAGGACACGGCAAGGCCCCACTGGCACGTCTCTTGCCACCCTACTTGGGGACCCAGTCCCGCAACCTGATGGTTGGTGGAGGCTCCCGTGGACACCACTGGATCCATGGCACTGCGAGCTGCTGTGCCAGGATGGCTGGCTAAGGGGCTGGCACGGATGTAAGATGGAGGCGCTTTACTCCATCATCTACCATGGCCAACTTCTCCCGAGCACTGACGAGTCGAAAGGAGACAGATTCCTGGCAGGCTGTCCAGGGGTGTATCTGCACCGCGACAGCCTGCAACACAAGGTGGAGAACTATATGCGATGGATACCACTATGTGGAGATGGTCTCTTTTGGGCTGCCAAGTGGGAGGTGGTGTATGCTCCCTCGGGGAGCAACAAACATGGCAAGCGTACCGATCAGGTGATACAAAGTGCTGAGTCGGTGGAGCTGGTGGCCCTCTGGCTCTCAGTGCGCTCCGAGAACATGCTGCCTGAGGGAACTGCTGTGCAGGCCACGTGGACGCCGGCCCGTGAGGCCAACCCTTGCCTCACAGAGTCCAAGCGGCGAAGCAGTGCTTTGATACAGGCTGTGGACTTTGCGGCACTCTCTGTTTCCTCCAGACCTTTGCCCAGCTCCAGTTCGCGGCCTGACCCTGCGATCGACGACAAAGGCCGACTCAAGCCGACACCCAAAGCTCGTGGTCGCCTGCCACACATCCCTTCTGAACTAGAGAAGGACTGCACACCTGCACAAGCGAAGCTCACCATACAGGCAGGAGATCTCGTCCTTCGATCGGCCACAGCACACAGCTCGGAGACTCCTAATGCTCCGACCATGGTTTCGGCTGCTACCTTGGCCGACCCATCAGATCCACCTCAACGAGGACCCAAACGGGTACGATCTGATGCTTCCTCTCCGAAACCAAGGAGGATGCAGACACGGCCCAAGCCGAGACGATCGATTTGGTTTGATGTCACGGACAACCCGGCTGATCCACCACCTACGACCTCCTCAACCGCAGCCAAAGGCCGTGGCACTGGGATGACCAAAGCTGCGAGGCACCAGGAACGCGTCCGCAAGAAGATGGCCAAGAAAATGGAAGAAATCTTCCAGGCCAATAGAGCCGCTGGACTTCACTCGGACTCAGCGGCCTCATCCAGTGCAGCATACAAGGATCCAGCCTGCTGTTCATCATGTCCACGTCTGCATCGGCATAGTCAATCTTGCCTGAAGACACGCATGTTCCCCACCCATCAATCGGGCAAGCTTCATGTCTTCGCTCCTCTAAGGTCTGGCCTACTGGCGGCTTCGCCAAACCAGGGTGACACAGGCAGGGATCGCTTTACTGAGTGCTCGGAGTTGCAGACCTCTGCACCTAGGATCGAGCAGCCACCTGGGTGGGTTCCCTGCTCACAAACCTTTGTTGCTCCTTCCACCAGTCACTGCCTGCAACACTTGGGGCCATCAGGCTTGTATCTCCCGACCTGCCGGATGCCCGCCGGCACGCCCGACTCCTTGCAGGTCCCTTCGTTAATCTACTGGGGGTCTGAAAGGCACCTGAGCTCTTTTCCATGTACCCATTCAGGCCTTGAACGTCCGGTGTGCGCATCTACGACCATGCCAGCCGGGATCACATGGCACTGCGGTGCCTCCCTACACCGTGCTCACTATCGCTGTGTTGTGCCTCGAGGTATGTCAGCTGCACTGGCAACAGGCCCCACTCTGTTGCATGCCTATTGCTCTCGTAATGATTGCTCCAGCCATCGCACCTGGCAGGGGTGGCCAGACGCTTTCCTGACTGACAGACCTGAACACTGCCTGGTGTGCCTTCGACACACCAGACCATCTGCTGCTGGACCTGCTTCGGTCCGGTGCTCACCTCCACCACCAGGAGCTGGTCTGCAACCCGACGGGCTCTCAGATCTCGAGACTGTCGCCCCCAAGCAGCTGCTAATTCCAACTCGCGGTTCTCTCAGCCTGCTTTCAGGTCTGTCTTCGCCATTGGGCGCAGGCCAGTGGATCGAGCAGACATCACCTCGAGATATGTTCCTGCCCAATTCGTGCAGGACATCCCGGGCACGTGGCTGGCCTATCGTCTGGCGGACCCATGCTGTGAGTGGTGTCGGCTTGAATATCGTAGAAGCACCCCCTATGCCACCCGCATGCAACAAACTAGCACCTCGCAGACCAATAAGATCAGATCCCGTGAGTCTGTTCTCGCCGAGCCGTTGCAACCCAAGGTTTCCCCTCCGGCCCTGGATCTGCACACTATGGATTAGATGTGTAGATGATCTGCTGCACCGTCCTTCGAAGTCGATGCCAGCATTTTTGACAACATGGACAACTGGCATCCCGAAGTGCCTCTCTCATAATCTCAACATACCTGCCCTGAGCCACTCCGGTCCCAATTCCGGAGACCGACTTTTTCATACGGCTGACAACCTGTTATCTCTCAGACACCCGCTGGTTGTCCATCTAGCCTCCGAACAGTCGGCAGGGGCGAGGGTTGTGAGCGGCTGCCACCCGCTCACGAGACCGAAACTCACCTTCGTGGTGGGGGACGGGAAGCCGTGGCAGGAGCCCAATGAACTACACTCTGCTGTGAGGGCAGTCTTGCGAGACCCCCCACAAAACCACACTACATGCTTTGACCTAGGAGTTACTCTAGGCATCGCCTGCTCTCCTAGCCTGACCTCCACTCCGTTTTCAGTCATCTGTTCATCGTGGGCTGGTCCAGGTGATCAGACTGCAGGCCCCTGTGAAGTGCCGAACAGCCTGGACAAGCTGCTGCTAGGATATGTTCCACTGCAGTCCAAGCCCCGGTACTTCTTCCTCTACAAACAGGGTCTCCCTGTTCGCCTCGTTGCCATCCGGGCTCCAGCACTTCTACACCTTACCTCTCCTGGCCTTTCTCGCTCTCGGAGGCCTTTCCCTGGAGTACAAACCCTAACACCTGCCACTCGATCAACCTACACTGCTGACAGGTCTTGCCCTCCGTCGACTACGTATTGCCCCAGTCGGACCCCGGGCACGACGCCGTACCCCAGGCAATGCCCTCGCTCCATCCTGTTCCTCTCGACTTTGTTTGCACTACCCAGGTCGATCTGGGGAGTGCCATCTGCACACCCCCTACATCCTACAGTTGCACATCACTCAGCGACCCTCAATCAGGCCACCGTCCATACAAATGCGCACACATTTGCCAGGAAGCGATCCTACAAACGTGCCCTACGTCGTGCTGCACAGGACGAGGCCCAGCATACGATTTATCGAGGTCGTATCTGTACCCTGCAACAGCTCTGCAAGGGCTATCGGGGCCATCGACCCGCCCCTCAGGCTGAACGTCGCATGCAGCAGGCCGCTCTGAAAGTCTCCCAGGGACGCCTGCTGTTCCTCTCATGGAATGCTGGAGGCTTGTCCCAGGCCCTGTGGCAGGAATTCTTGCTGACACTTGAAAACATGCCACCTGACGAACGACCCCAAATCGTGTGTGTCCAAGAAACCCATTGGACGGACAAGGTGGCGCCAACATTTCCCACTGCTACCTGGGACGTGTACACCTCCCCAACCACAGACAACAAATCTGCTGGGCTCCTGATTCTTCTCAATAAGAATACCACCCGCAACTGCAGAATTGTTTACGCCGACCCTCAACCGGGCAGGGTGCAACACTTGAGGATACTCCACGACAAATGGGCAGTTGACCTGCTGCACATCTATCAAAAGCCGCACAACTCTCATCCACTCGCACTACAATCCTCGAAAACCATACGTTTAGCTGTCTGGGAGTGCATTGGCAAGATCCTGGCAGCTCTGCCTGCCCGAAACACAGTGATCATGCTTGGAGATTTTAATACTCAGATCAAGCCGTGTGCTGCAGCCGGCACCAGGATCTGTTCAGGCACCAGCACGAGCACACATCCGCCAGATCAGGCAAGGTTGCAGCACCTGGTAGAGGACTTTTCTCTCTTACACCTCAACTCGTGGTGCAAGGCGGCTGGCCCTACATACCATCACAACAAAGGTGCTAGCCTTATCGATCATATCATCATGCGTTCCAGCCAAGCGGATGATCGTGCTAGGCAGGCGAGACCACTCCGCCTGGGATTGGCTGCCTGGAGACTTGGTGGGTATCACCTGCCACTGAAGGCCAGCATCCCGCTTCAGCGTTTCCACACCCTTAACAAATCGGTGGCACCACAACGGGCGTGGGACCATTGGGGCCTGATTCAGGTTTGCCGCTCCACCTGGGACCCGAGAGTTCAAAGTCTACGCTCTGCTGTCCAGGCGTCCCTACCAGGGGTTCAGAATCTTGGGCAATTGCATGACACCCTGATCCACTGTGCCTCCCAATTCTTCCCGCCACCCGCAGGACAGCATCGACTGGCCCTATGGCAAACACCGCCTATGCAGGATGGTATTCGCTCCATGTGGCAGGCCTACCGAGTCTGGAAGACAGCCAAAGCTCAAGCTCAGCATAATCCGCTCTATGTTTCCAGGTGCTACCATCACTTCAAGACGGCACATAAGGCCTTTCGTCGTGCCGGGAAAGAAGCCAAAAAGCACTGGTTCCATGGCAGGCTACAGGAACTTCAGACCGCTGCCAGCTCAGGCGACTCTCGCAAGCTATATGCTGGCATCCGTACCTTAGCTCCCAAATCCTCCAAGCCGAAGGTTCAACTGCGAGATTCCGGCGGACATCTGCAGGATCCCAAGACCCAGCTAAAACAGTTGGAAACGCACTATCGCAAACTGTATGCTGCGGACGAGGATGGCAGCATACAGGGCCCCCAGCGACAGCCCATACACATTGAGGTCACGGAGGCCGAAATGACCCTGGCGCTTTCGCAATTGTCACCGCACAAAGCTACACCTCCGAACTTAGCCACAAACTCTCTATGGAGGCTAACCTCGGACCTCGTTGCGCCTCTCTTGTGCCAATGGTGCCGGCAATGGCCTCAAATACCAGAGCTTTGGAGAAGCGCATGGTTGACTCTCGTTCCCAAGATTCCGCGACCACTTTCACCAAAGAATCTCAGACCTATAGGGCTAACTGAATCCAGTGGCCGTGCATATGCTTCCATACTGCAGGCGAAATTGCGCCCCTACGCCGAGAGATTCCTTGCAGACCAGGCACAATTTGCATATCTGCCAGGTCGCAATGCTGCCCAGGCCATACATCGGGTCGCCGCACACTGCAAATATGTTCAGGATCGCTGCTCGATTTCAACACCTACGGTTGTTGATCGTCACGCACAACAGCCGAAACCCTGCCCACACTTTGCAGGTGCACAACTGTCGCTGGACCTTTCCAGTGCTTTTGACCTCATGGACTGGCGCCTGCTGGACAAGGCCTTACTAGCGTCCGAAGTTCCGGCCGAGCTCAGACACCAAATCATGTCCTGGCACTCTGAAATCTCCTATGTCCTTACTCACCTTGGGCACACTGCCAAGGTGGAGGCCCAAAGAGGACTTAGACAAGGGTGTAAACTGGCTCCGTTGCTCTGGACACTCGCTCTAGCACAGATATATCGTGAGATCCTTGCTGAGGGGGACCCGCTTCTCACAGCCCCTTGGCTAGAGCAATGCTCCACGATTTATGCTGATGATATACACCTCAAGGATACTGTGCAGAACACTCGTGAGCTGGACGACATGGTGTATCGCTTTAGTAAGATCCTCGATGCCCTTGCGGCCCATGGTATGGTCATCAACTCGGCCAAATCAGCATTGCTACTGAGACACAAGGGCAGTTTCATCCGAGGCTGGCTGCGCCGACACCTCATACCTAAACCCGAGGGGGATCTCCTACGTTTTCGCAGTCCACAGGGAACAGTGTATGAAATTCCATTGCGTGACCATCACACGTACTTAGGCATACGTATCTCCTACCATTCACAGGCCAAACAAGCAGTCACCTATCGGCTGCAGGCTGCGAATCAGGCCTGGCAAAGACTCCGTGGTGTACTGTGCTCCACCAGGCATCTCGCTCAGACGCATCGTCTCAGTCTATGGAAATCCACAGTGCTTCCCACACTGCTCTATGGTATCGCAGCATCTAACCCAGGTGCCAAGGACATACAGCGAATGCAGCACATGATGACCAAGCAGGTTCGAGCCATCACACGATCCTTTGCACATCTTCAGAAAGAATCCACACAGGACCTTCTACACAGATGCTCTTTGTTCACCATTTTGGAGCACCTGCAGAGGGAAGCCGCTGCCTTGCATCGTAGCCTGACTCGCCTGAGCACTGAAACGAGCTTCGTGACCCAAGCCCAGGTGGAATCAGCTCGAGACACTGCCGCTACACTTCACCTCCAAGTGCAACGCCAATGGCAGGTCCCTATTGGGGACACAGAAGGCATCACAGATCCTGCTGTACATCAGTGCCAGGAATGTCATCGGGTCTTTACTTCCTTTCGGCTCCTCCGCTCTCACGAGGCTAAGTGGCACGGCCTCAAAACACCTGCTGCTGTCTCGGTGCCTTTTGACAGGTATGCACATGGAACAGAAGGACTTCCAACGTGCAGACACTGCGCCCATCCCTTTCGACAATGGGATGGCCTCGTTAAGCACATTAAACGCAATCGGTGTCAGGTACTTCGTAGACTTGCCACCCAACCTCCTGCTGCTGCCCCACCCTTGGTTCCGAGTTCTGATGACTCTGATCCTGTACCAGTCCCTGACCCGGTTACTCTGCCACCCCAGGATCTGCCTCCGGAGACTCACATCCTGTCAAACGATCAGGCTGCTATGCCCCCGCCTGCTCCTGTCGACATACCTGAACCCCCTGTCTTGGATGCTCTCCTGCAGGATGGCTCTACTTCGCCGAGCCACGAGGCTGCTCCTCTATATCAGCAATCTCATGTGCTTGAGACACTAAGTGCCCGCAGGTGGACTGACCTCCTTGTGAAACCGGAGACCTACTCGTACCTCCAGCACCACTGCCCGCTGTGTTACCAGTGGCTAGCCACTCCTACCAGCATCAAGTATCATCTCACCATGCAACATCCAGAGTGGAAAGAATGCCAACCTGCGACTCTCAAGCTTCTTACTGGTTTCCGCCGACATACTGTTGTACCATGTCGATACTGTCATCAGCGAAACATCAACAAAGATCGTCATTGGAAACAGTGTCATGTTTTGCATATTTGCGCCTTTCTAGCAGTGCACCATGACACTCTGCGCGGATCCCATGGAGCTGGACGAACAGGAGAAGCAATTTTGGGCCCATGCCGGTCCGGTCAAACGGGAACAGGAACCACGACGAGATGTGCTGCATCCAACCGAGCAGTCCAAGAGACAGCGTCTGGCTCCGCAGGACCGGAACAAAGGCAAGGGCAAGGGTACCAAGGGCAAAGGCAAGGGAAAGCAGGGCCTACCAAGTCCATCCAGTGCCAACCAGGTCACGGGCTACACAAATGGTTTCGGAAGCCATCCACCCAATCCCTGGACACAGACCCAGGACCTGCAGCCACTGGGAAATCACGATCCAGACTGGATGGAGTACAGGATGAATCGACTATCCCAGCTGGTCCTTCGTCAGGAGCAAATCATCTCAGCCATCCGTCAGGACCTGGTCCTCTACCTCTTTGTACGATCAGGGCCAGAAGGGATGGTACCGGTTCTTTGCGAAGCAGCGGAGAAGTGGAGGAAGATGAAAGAGGAAGAACCCGAGAAGATTACTTACTCCCTCAAACTCATGCTCTTCAAGCAGCTGCTCATCACCTTACACCAGAGGTTGACCAACATGATTGCGGACGAGGATGCTCTCGCCAAAGCCAAGAACCTGAACTGGATCGACGGTCAGAAACATTGGAAACATCTTACATGGAATCCTACCAAACAATGTCTGGAAGTCGACAACTCAGTGAGGCCAATACCGGCGGAAGATCTGCTGGCCCAACTGGTTCAGATGAGGAAGGCTGTTACGGAAGAGACCCTGGTGAGGTTCAAGTCCATGAGGAAGCTCACCACGGAGGTGACCTCCGACTGGATTCAGTTCCAGATCTGCATGTCCCTTCGCCCAGAGGGAGGAGCCATGTGGAGCACGCTGAACCAGTGGATCGGCCAGGCATCGTGGCACACCCTGGGCTGCAGGCTTCGCCGCGATCGGCCGAACTACGACACCCTGGTCCAGGAAGTGTGGCAACATCAGATGCCATACTGAGTGTGCGCCCTAGTCTCAAGGCTGTCCTTCGATTGATTTTCCACAATTCATCGAATTTGTGCTACCTACACTCTACCATCTATGCTCTTCTGTGGACAATCCTTCAGGCTAGGCTACATGATGCCTGCATCTCGCCTCCACCGCAGGCTCTTACCATGCTGTGCCCACCAATCACTGAGTCGCCCAATTGCCCCATTCAGGTACTCCACTCGGTACCGTGGCTTATGCTGCTGCAAGCTTGGCCTTCTGTGCATCGTCAGCATGATGCAGCTGAACTGCTGCAATATCTTCTACCCAGGTTCTCGCATAGTGGGTTCAATGGTGGCTGGGAGGCCCGAAACTTTGTACCTGGAGGTATTGCCACTCTTGACAAGGGGCCTACCCAAGCTCCCATTCCGATTGCGCTGCCGGTAGGTCCAAGCCTGGAGCTTCAAGCAGCCATTGATGGGTGGAGTGCTCAGGTTACAGCTCGCTATGCACTGCTGAGTCCGTCTCCCATGCTCTGTATACAACTCCAACGCTTCACAAATGCCGAGGGAGTCATGCGCAGGGACACCAGACCACTGGTCGTGGCCTCGACTACAGTTCGTATGCCACTCTTTACAGGTCTGCACACAATGCAAGTTCGCTATGTCCACTACCAGGTCGTCGCTGTACAGCTTCACTACGGGGCCACTCCTGATATGGGGCATTACAGAACTATCCTACGAGGACAACCGCTGTTTGGAGCAGAAAAGTGGTGGATCACTGATGACTCCTGCAACGCAAAGCCAGTCAGTACAGAACACGATGACAACATATATATAGTGTGGCTACGTCAGGTACTACCTCCTGGTGCCTGATGCTGAGCAAGTGTAGTCTTAGTCGATGGAGCTGGCACTGCCCTCCAGAACCCAAAAGAGGTTCCAGCCACCGGAACACCCGGTTGCTGTCTGCTCGCTAGGCGAACTTGGACACTTCGCTGCGTGGTGAATGAATGCTACTGCTACTACTACTACTACTACTACTACTACTACTACTACTACTACTACTACTACTACTACTACTACTACTAATGCTGCGACTACGGCTACGACTGCTCCTACTCCTACTGCTACCGCTAGTGCTACGACTGCTATTACTGCTACTACTTCTACTACTAGTGCTACTGCTGCTGCTGCCGCTGCTTCTGCTCCTGCTCCTGCTACTGCTACTGCTCCTGCTCCTGCTCCTGCTCCTGCTGCTACTGCAGCTGCACTGCTCCTGCTCGTGCTTTGGTAATTACTGCTGCTGCTTCTGCTACTGCTACTGCTGCTGCTTCTGCTGCGACTGCCACTGCGACTGCCACAGCCACGGCCACCGCCTCCGCCACCGCCACTGCCACTGCCACTGCTGCTGCTGCTACTGCTGCTGCTACTGATACTGCTACCCTTTTACTCCTGTAATTACGACGACGACTACTGGCTACACGAGCAGTACAACTGCTGCTGCTGCTGCTAACACTATGACCACGACGGTGCGACATCTACCACCACCATTACTATACTACTACCGCTGCTACGACGACGACGATGGCGACTGCTTTGAAGGTCATACCCTACTCATGCCGGGACTTGGGCCACTACATGCGGGTACCATGTTCTCAAGACCCGTGGGCTTCTTTGGATATGAGGTTTTTGATGGCTTGTAAGATGTTGCAAGCCACACCGTCCAGTCCTGTTCACAGTAAGATACGACGATGTGATTCGGAGCAGGGCTTTCATACACCCCGGCAGATGCAAACAATATCACTGAAAGGTCAGCCTCTACCCTGAAGCTGAAAATTGATAGCTTGGGAGTGTCCTGAGTATAGATACAGGCCATCGCTTCACAAACAGCACATCGTGCTTGCACTGGCATCCGTCCCGGCACCGTTGTTGTTCCAGGAAGAGTGCCATTTCATAGTTTTCAAGCAGGCTTGCAGCATGAACAACCCTTCCTAGGCTTACGGTTCAGTGCCTAGAGAGGCCTGGGTCCACGTGACATGTAGCAAACGAGATTCGAATTCGGACCCGCGTTGTTCCAAAATGTCTGTTGCAGATGTGTATGACCGCGCTAATCGTCGTGTGATTTCACAGGGTTCAGAGCTGACCAAATTACACTAAATTTACAGCTTGGCCTTTGCCGGTCGCTGTGCCTGTTTTTGACGATTGTTGTCAGCTGGGCACCTGAGGCCGCACGATCGTTCAACACTAGTAGCGGCAAGAAACGCACACACCTCAATCAATGGACCCTTTTTTGCGGGTCTGGGACAGCGCGAGACCTGCTTCTGTGTAGTTTCATTGCCTGGGCCCAGACATCACTCCCCAAGTTTCATCGCTGGTGCTTACAAGCTTGGTCATGCTCAGCTTATCTACAAAAGTTACATCTAGAATCTAGAATGCATTTTCAGTTGCAGTTGCCGTACATATCCTTGCTTGGAATCCAGGCTTCGCCTTCGGGCTGACATGGTCGGTGGCACTTGGTCCGAATGGGCTGCCCCTGCGCGAGCTCAGCAAGTGGTGTCAGGCCGGCGGCACTGAGTGCATCCCATGTACAGAAGCCAGCAGACGACACGATGCACAAGAGGAAATGTCTGGTGAAGCTGGCCAGGCAAGTCAGGGGGTAAAAGCAAACTGTAGCAGTGTAGCATCATCAATCTGCGTAGACTGACATGCATGCTTACCTGGCCCTACCTCGCTGCGACATTTGCGGTGGTTGCATTGACTATAATGAAGCTGGAGCTTCGCGGAGTGCAGTGGCCGCAATGACTTTGACTTGGTGTTCGTTGCTTTAAAGACCTCCGGCTCGAGCAGACAGCACAACATTCTCCGACACTAGCTTTATTGATGCACTCATTGGTGACTGAGGCCTTGCGAGTCCAGGTTTGTCGAATCTTACTTTGCCAGACGAAAATTTGACCAAGACTCTAAGAAGAGATGCAACACCCGGACAGTCCCCGAACGAAAGTTCCCTCGGCTCTCTCAGGCAAACATTCCTCGTTTCCAGCTTCCACGCGGATGTCACAAGCCGCACACTTGGTACTGTGATTATCTTAAGCCGCAGAGGACTTGGCTTTAACGGATTCTGGAGTTCAGGGCAGGGTGTGTTTCAACTTGAGAGGCAGACAGGAGGTGGCACAGAATTGCGCAGATCTTCTGTGGGTGTCGTTCCGTCCGGACTCGACGGCAATGGCCTTTGTCGAGGTTGCTTACTTTGCAGGCTAGTCTATGCGTTTCGATTCGTTTGGAAAATATCGTCTCGGCGGTATATTGTGTTAATGTTCAGGGTAAGACGACGGTTTTGATTGATTTTGCACATGTGGGCAGCCACCAGCATTCGCAATGTAGTCGATGACACCAACCTGGGCTTACAGTTGGGGTGCCTGCATGAATCAAAAGGACTTGTGACTTTCAGGTGTTAATTACCAGCAGCCATACAGTAATATACATGAAGTAATGGGCAGACAAATACATTGTGTGTATTCACATTTGGGTGAGTGAGAGAGCGAGTGAGGGAGTGAGTGAGTGCGCGAGTGAGTGATCGAATGAGCCTTTCAGTGGGTGGGCGAAAGAGTGAGTGAGTGAACGAGCGAGTGAGTGCGTGAATACATGAATCTATCACATGTTACATGATCAGTGAACGACTGAACGAATGGATGATTGAATGAATGTGCACAATACGTATGGGAACAAGTAAAGAAGGCAGAAAGGAAGCAAGCGAGCAAGCAAGCAATCACTCAAGCAAGTATGTTTGAATATGTATAGGTGGGTAGGTAGCTAGGCTTGTTGGTAGGTGGGCAGGCAGGTAGGACAGTATGATGGTAGGAACGTAGGTAGAGCCGTAGGTCGGTGGGAAGGTGGGTACGTGGGTGGTAGGTAGGAAACGATGAGCACAGATGCGTGCATCGCACGTTTCGTCATTGGGTCTGTGTGTATATACATACATACATACGTACATACATACATACTCACGTACGTACATGCATGCTTACATGCATATGTGTATATATATATATATACACATATATATATATATATATATGTATATACACATACATACCTACATGTACACAACATGCACTCAAGTAGCTCAGAAAGCGTGACAGGCACATGGGCCAGGGTTCGAACACGGGCCATCCAATCAAGGTCTTGAGCGTCAGATCCTCCAAGCTTTCCAAGCATCAGACGCTTACACCAACGGTTGGAGCAATAGTAAGTTCTGGCACAAGCGGACACGGATAAAAGTCACAAGGGTACGGTAAAGATGTCACAAAGTTGTTTCTGGCTAGTCTTGTCGTCATTTGTTGCCTCGGACCTTGAGGCTCACCGATGTTTACGTGGACAGCAACTGCAAGGCAGCAGCACCCTGTTGCCCAGGGCATGAGCATTCAAAACATCTGGGCTAGGGGACTGTAGGGTCTAGGCTTCTAGAACCCAGGATTCTTGCACAAATATCAAGGAAGGTTGGGGTCCGGTCTGGGTCAATGCCTGCATCTCCCCAACATGGCATGAAAGACGTGACAGGCCTTGAGAGTTTAGCTGAAAAGTTGAGACTGGAAACTACCCAGAACTCTCCCTTTATCTCTTTATCTCTCCTGGGCGCGGAGTTTTTTATCAGAAAGACCTCGGCCGTATAAGCCATGAGGTAAGAACACTGGCACACGGCATGGCAGGATCCTGAAGCCGGCTACTTCAGTCCCTGGTATTCCCAACTTCCTGTGGCCATGCAGGAGGCCTGGACGTAGATTTTCAGGAAGGGGTTCGGAGTAACATGGTTATCAGTTGTCATGCCCAAGTAGCAGCTGCACGAAGGCAAGCAGTTTCTGAATGTTCCGTCGGCGTTGTGTGCGAGGGGGCTCAATAACACGTGCGACCAAGTTGTCAGTTAACGAACCCATAACAGGCCGGGATCCTCGACCCAACAGGTCCGATCATCGTAGTCGGAGTTGTAATGTCAGGGCTTCATTCATCAGAGGTATCGTGTCAAGTGCTGTCGATGCATGCGGTGCAGGCAGTTCCTTCTACAGAGGTTTGTGTTCTCTGTATACGTTGATATGCCATGCCATGGAACAATCCACCGTTTTCGGAAGCCCAAGAAGGGGTGCTGGGAATCTTGAGGGTGCTCAGATTGCGGTGCTGCAAGTGCGAGAAATTCTCGTGCATTGGGAAAGTGAAGATGTGCAGAGGGAACGTATCGAACCAGATGCATTCAGCCTTCCGACACTCAGTCGAAGGTCTAAGTGCAGGCAGCAGTATATGGTATTCTAGTTTTTGTCTCGGTAAACTTGTCGTGATGGTCTTGGCGCATGCTGACGGGAAAGAGGGTAGTGCCAGAATGTGCGATGCATGCCAGACCAGAGCCCATGCGCTTATAGCGAAGAGCGTCATCAGCCATTAATTGGAACGAGCAGAACTCAAGCCTCATATCATATCCAACCTCTATACCAAGACCGTGTGGAGGAGCAAGGGAAGGCAGATCTTTACGGAGACATAGCTGTGCCAACCGTGCCGGGGAATCCTGGCAGCAGGCCAAGGACAGAAGCATTGGAATGGCAGAGGCAGGCTTGGAAAACTAAGCAAAGCTGGTTGGCAGAAGCGTAAGCGTGATTCAGATGATATCACAACCTAAACTTAACGACGCCTCTGCGCAATTTCTCTGAGATTGGTAAGCTTCGTGGTTTTGCTAGTCTGAGTTTGAGCTCTTGACACAGGAGTTTCATGAATTTCCGGGGTGTGGTCTCGTAGGCACGTAGTGCAGCTGCACTATCAGTTCGTTGTGTTTCGCTCAAGTCTCAGCTGTTAACAATAGCTAAACATCTCATTGCACAACCAACACACTGTCGACACTAGCAATTTCAAATGACTTCGGACGATGCAGCAAGAGACCAAGAGTTTGTAGTGATATCAGAGTACTAACAGCAACAAGGGTTTTATGCTGTACAGCGTCAGACATGATACCAAAGCCGTGTTCGTACTAGTACTGTCGCGGTCCTACGTCGTCAGCATCGTCATCATCACCGTGACACGTTAATCGCATTATCATTCCGTCACCCTTATGGTTGTTGTCATCGCTTCGCTGGTCGATATCCTTTGAATGCATGTCACATCACCTCATCAGCATCATCCGACATCAGTCCCTCACCTCAGCGTCTGTCGTCATCTGCATCTTCCGGCATCATGCATCACGACCTGTCCCGTCCTCATCAGATTCATCTGCACCATCATCACATCGTCATCATCGTCATCATCACCACCTTAGCATCACACACGTCTATAAGATAATTCCAACAGTCAGTTGATGCGCTTTACCTCCGAGGATGTCGTACAGCTACTTGAGTTACAACCTCCTTCTGGCAGGCAACAGTGTGCTTCTTGGCTGTTGTTGTGTAAGCCGACGAGCTCACACTCCCAAAGACAAAAATCTTTGACAACAGATTTTCGGAGCGACTTCGAGGTGGTTGTGGCTTTTGGGAAGCTTCGGGGATGCAACGCCGAAGCATCGACTGTGCAATCACCGGCTCGCAACAACAAGCCGACCAAGGGGGCGCTATTTGGTAGCTCGATATGGCTACTGATGCCCACGACAGAGTACATTAAGCGCATTGAGTTGAGTGTTGCTTTCGGGCTGTCACGGTCTTGGTGGCCCACCCCCAAGAACTGGGATACCTTGACCCTTAGCCTGTTGGTCAGTCGAAGTTCGGGCTTGGCGGGTTGCCGTTGTATGTAAGCTCGGAGCTGTCTTGTAAACCAGGAGTTTCGACTCTTCAGTTTGGGCCTGGCTGTTACGAAGCTGCCTTCATCCCTAAATCCGAAATTTGCTTCAATCGCACTACCCTTGGCGAGCCTCGGATGAAGCCAAGACATTCCCGCTTTGAGCTTTAAGAGTAGTCTTGGTCGTCTTCGTGGCGATGGGCGAACACATTACTACTAGATGTGTCTGTTTGCAAACGAGTCTCACGGTCCGATCTGCAGAGACTCCCGTTTTCAGTTCCAGACAGCAGGTGAGGCCAGCGAAGTTTTCTGGAAGCTTTGCAATCCCACCTTGCAAAATCCGAGTTTACGCGTATCCGAAGCGTGCCGGTGTCAAAGGTTCATCTCCGGCAGCCCCAGCGTCGGAAAATCGATGCCACCTGGCTTACATGCATGTTTTCGGTATCAACCAGGGTGTACCAAGATTGTAGAAGCACGGTCTCCCAGTTGCAGCTGGCAGTGTGTAGCCGAGGCTCCAAGCCATGGACTTTCCGTTGAAAGATAGAGATTGCTCGTGCCATTGAGTCCTAAGCCCCAGGATGCGAAGCATAGACACAGTCAGAATCATTCCGGAACCATACAAGCACCGAAGCCCTGGGATTCAGGAGAATACACAAGTTGTCAGCCCTGTCTCCGTTGTTTCGGGATTGGATGCTAAAGGGTCGCTCCACATGGATGTGCAGGCAGCCTTTTCATGGGTTACAAGCTTTCTGCGCACCACTGTCCAACCATGAGACAGGATACCCGTATCCTACTAATTAGCCGGATAGAGCATCTGCAGAACTCGATGCACAGATCCTGGGCTCGTCAGGATAGTGTCCTCAGCTCAACAGTCGCTGGCCGTCCTGCAGAAGTGGATGACAGTAGGCGGAAGGGAAAGGGGATGGGGCAGCAAATGCCTGACAGCTGGCATGAGCTGGATTTTGCACGGATATCTTGCCTCGTAATCATCCAGTCATCTGTGTGCTACCCAGTTCCAAGCTTGACGGACCTGTTCTTCGAGCCCCGTCTTCGAAACTGAGTTGACTCTGAATTCCTGTCGTAAGTCGCTTCGCATGTGTGTATCCATAGCATCTGAGATGATATCCTTATGTTTGGAACTACAGTAGGAGCCGAAAAGTTGGAAACTCAATGGCCTTAATCCGTAAGAGTTGGGAAAAGGGAATCGCAGCACTAATTGTCCTTAACCCGGCTTCCAACTTTTTTGAGGTGTACTGTAGTCAGATGTTGACGATGGAGAGTATGGCGATCGTGCGAACACGGTGGCGACGTCACCGATGAATACCACTACGACGGCAACCGGCAACGAGTAGGCAGATATGAGTATTGCTGCCACAGAAGAACAAGATGTTGATGTGGTCACAACGATAAGACACAGTGGAAAAGATATTGGTGACGGTGACGAATAATCTTGACGACGGCATGAGGACTTGGATTATGAACATGAAGATCATGATTATGATGATGTTGACGGTGATGGTAACGTTGACGATGCTGATGTTCATGGGTGATGATGATGATGACGCCGATGATGAGGAACATGATGATGTACACAGTGATGATGCTAGTGATGATGATGATGATGGTTGTAGATCAGCAATGCATGCCCGCAGCCCGTCGAGGTTGTCTGCCCCATTTAACATGCGATATCATGACAGCTAGCACGGGCCATACTTCCCTTGAAGCTGATTGAAGCAGGCACCATTCTCAGCCGCCAAGTTGGCTCTTCAGAGATGCGGACGGCGCTGGTAGCAGCGACTCGCCAGCTGTCCTACAGGGGACAATCTAGAGTTACATGGCACATCCATGGCAATAGCTTCATAGGCCAACGGAGTCGGTTCGAATGCTTCAGCTGGGTTTGGAGTTACGCATGACGTGATAAATAGGTACTGGGACTTCTTGGCAGATGGAAAGAGGTGAAGCGGAGTTGTGGCCACGGGCTGTGGATCCGTGGTCCGGTTCAAAGCCCCAAACCGCAAACGCCTAGTCCAAGCGATCGGTTTTCTAGCTGGAGGCGGCGCTTCAGTGTCGACCCGGCCGGCGTCTCTTCGCAGGGCAGATGCTGACCCTCGGCCATCACAGGGGTTTTCCAATCCGCATTTCGAGCCATGCTCGTCTATGCACGAGGATGCTGCACGTGTCAATTCCCAGAGTACGCAGGGTCAAAGACCAAAGGCTAAATAAACATCATCCTGCCATTCCTCATCTCAGTCTGCGGCCTGCGAGGGCTGCACAAGGCATTGGGAAGCAAAACCAAGCAAGGAGGGATGGTATGAAAACCTTCGTCGCTTTTCTGGTACGTCGTTCAACGACTGCAACGGGACGGGTGCGAATCAGGATCCGTATCGAGGATCTCAATTTGCCCCGCCTTGGCGCCCTGGAGCTGCTCCTCGCCCGGGAAGTTTGTGAAGATGGGGGGCCTTGGATTCGTTTAATTTTGTGGATGCCTGGAATATCATGAAATCTTGAGTTGGCACCTACAGTACTACTTAAGGTGCTCGGGATGCTTGTTTCTGCTATCAGATCAAATTCTAGAAGCCGGGCTTGCTGGAAAGATGCGCCACGGAGGTTGACGTGTGCTGAAACCACCTCCGACATTTTGTGTGTCAGAAGCGACCTCTGCTTTACAAGGACTGTAAACCTAATGTGATTTTAGCTGGACCAGTAGTCATACACGAGCCGTCTTCATCAACTATGCCCATGCTGTTTTTTGAGCATGATATGTCTCTGATATTGCCTACTTCGTCCACCGAGGCTACGCGGATTTGTTGACCAGCGCGGACTTCGAAACAGCAAGGCTCCCATGTCGGCCTTTTCCGTGCCCCCAGAGAGCGAAGAAAGTACCTTAATTAAGTACCTTGTAGTTTTCCTATAGCAAGCACGCGCATCAACTGTTTTGATTGTAAACACGCGTGGTAACCTGAAGAGCCCAAATCCCAACAGACGCAACTCATGAACTCCGATGTTCGGCAATCGTGCCAGGACGACTCCTGGCTTCGTGGCGAAGGCTCGAGTTTTTGTGAATTCCTCATCCCTAGATGCTGGGAGCATACTGCGCCTGAGACTCTAGACAGCCACTAAAGAATCATACTATGCATTTCATCTTCTGTCTGGTGACGGCGTCACGAGTGCATTTCGATATCTCGCAAGCCAGTCGCTTGAGGATTTACCGCTGCCGATCGTAACACAACCGCAAAAGACATCACACATTAGGACATCCCCACAATCCAAACATCTCTGCCATGCCACGACACGATCGTTGCAGCTGGACACTTACAGCGTGATAAGGAAGCTCCACAGGTAAAAAGGCACCAGCAAGGCCAGCACGGTCCAAGGCTTTTTGGAAAATGTCAGCTTTGCAGCACAACTTTCAAATACAGAGGCCGAGCGACAATCACACTCATGAATTGATGCTTACTGCCCTGCGCAGCCTCTGTGTATTGAGTGGCTGTCAGACCACAACTTGTTCGCGATGATCACGATAGCCGTGTGCCGTGAAAGAAGGCTTATCGCCAAGGCTCTCTCTCTCTCTCTCTCTCTCTCTCTCTCTCTCTCTCTCTCTCTCTCTCTCTCTCTCTCTCTCTCTCTCTCTCTTCACTTCCTCCAAACGTGTGACAGTCGTGCGATGTCAGATGTCGGACGTCTTTTGGCCTTCCACGAGAAGACTCGCAGGCCCAAACTTCTGTCGTTGAAGGAGGAGTGATCCACGCAGGATTGGATCCTGCAGAGTGGCGGCGAGACACCATCTTTGATAATCATATAGTTCCTATATATATATATATATACATACATGTATGTAGCTTGTATTTTTATGTGTATATTGTATATCTACACAAAACTACACATACACACACACACACACACACCATACATGTCGTGCGCGCTTCGCGTCATGTGCTCTCGTGCTCTCTACCGAGGGCACCCAGACATATGCTGCTGAATTTATAAACCCGCACAGCCACATCCTAAAGAGACTGAAGCGAATGTTCGACCTTCTGCTGACCCTTGAGATGAAGGCCTTGTAACCGAGTAAAGACGTGGGGTCCGGCAGGGATCCATCTGGTGGCTAGCAGCGCTGCGCCAGGGCTCACCGGCCAAGGCATGCCCGCGTTGAGAGTGTGGAGTATGCAGAGTTGCAGGTCACATTTGGGGTTTTCTCAAACCCTTGGCATAGTAGGAGCAGCGCCAGTTCTGTAGTGTACATACGTCGCTAGTTCCCCACATGCCTCATTACGTCATCATTGCCATGACAGCCGGGAACGCACAACCGACAACTAGCTGGCTCCGGATGTGTGAAGACAGTTCGCTGACGCAGAGGAAACAAAACAGACTTTTCGCGAACCCGAAGCCCCCGCCCACTTCCTACCACATGCTGGGGATGTCACCGTTGTCACGCAGGATGCCTGTTTCGCGCAGCACTAAACTAGCAGCTTACTAGCACATGTAAGAGCATGCTGCGAGCCCCGAAATGGGACCATTAGAAACAAAGCCGGAGGAGCTGAGCCGGGACCTCCAGGTCAGGTCTCTCTCGGACGGTTGGGACATTCCGGGGCTTTCTGCAGTTTTGGTGAGGGTTTGGTTGAATTTGGCGATTGTAGGAAGGCTCCATGCCTGGACTTTGGGAAAGAGGTTTTTGTGGTGCAGGCTTGGGTTTTGGAGTGGTCGCTCGAACGTTGGGCGCATGGTGCATGGGCCCTGCCACTGTTCAGTTTATGGGCAATGAGCACCTGCGACTCTGGAATGGCATGTGCATGTACTTGGAATTGCGAGTTGGGGCCGTTCCGGAACAGGAGTGGATCCGTCTTGGGGTCGAGTCGAGATGCTTCAATAACCCAGTCCTACATGGGGGTTCTCAAACTGGCACACAGGAGCGGTACTTGCTGAAGTCCTTAAGAAACTAGCCTTACAGCATCAACGCGTACTAAGACAGGATACTCTATTGACCAGTAACGATCCGTCAGAAGTAAGTAATTACAAACAAATAGTAGGAAGCATGATAAAGTTCGTAGTACAAATTGTCTTCGGTCGAGTCTTTTTTTGAGCCTTGGCCAGATAAGCACTGTACGGATCCAGTGAAGGCTCCCAGAGTGGGCTCCTAATGCCTCGCCTGGCACGGCACTTTGTGGAGCTCTTTGTCCCGGAGCCGGCGGAGGAAGATGCTGCTGGGCTAAGGGGATATCTCTCGTTCGGTCCAAGGTGGCAGTGAAAGTACAGCAAAAAACGTTCACACTCCTTTTAATGATCATCACTTCTATTTCGACATGCTCCAAGTCTCGAGCTTAAGCCGAGATGTTCAGCAAGTGATCGTCACAGAGATTCAAAGTCCAAAAACCCCGTGCAAATCTAGCTCAAGTCGCTGCTCAGTTTCGGACATGTAAGACATCACCCGGCGCAAAACATGCTTGTGGTCGACTCGCGCTCCAAGGAGGAGGGATGCCCAGCTCTGGGGCATACAGTCAGTTTAGTTGGAACAGCACTCGAAAGCTTCAGTCTCGAACCATCGCAGCATCTCAGGCCGACGTGCTAAGTCTTGACATGAGTCCCGACGTCCCCATCCCTGAACCATATCGACCTAGGGCCTGAACCTGAGGCAAAGTACACCTGAGTTCTAAAAGATTCATACGCGTTTTGTCGTGGGTCCCGCGGCTTCCAATTCAATGTACGCTAAGGCCTGCAGAGGAGTTGTTGATGAACAACAAATCCTCTGACAGGTGACACGTTTTGCAAATCGTAATGTCTCATCTTTGATTTCTGGCATAAGGTCAAGAAGATTTTCATGGAAGTTTCCCGACAGATATTGCAGGCCGGAGGGGATCGGAGGGAGCAAGAGGCAATTTGCCTAAGCTGTCTTGTACTCCTCAGAGTCCGCAACCAGGGTTGGACCGGGTTGGAGTCACAACCAAACCCAGGCCTCAAGCATCAGAGTTGATGCTGCATGACGAGCCCAGATCTGCATGCGTCACTGAAGAGTCCGAGGTGGGGTTGTCGTGTCGGGGCTTCGCCATGCCCAGTCTGGCAAATCGATGCGGGATGAGCAGGAAAGCAAGAGCAGGTCAAGCCCAGCTTCGGTATGTTGCTTGTCGTGCTATGGTGCAAGCAGAATCAACTGTAGCATGCTTTATGGTCGGGGTTAGGACATGTCGGCATGCTGCCGCGCACAAGAACCAAGCAAACAGTAGTCATACTGATGTACTGAACAGCTCGAAAATGGAACTCTGAACCAGGTAGACGGTGCCGGCGATGGCCTCGTCGCTGCCTTCTCCGCTCACCAGGACTTCAGGGATCAGTGTTCATATGCCAACGAGGTATACTTAGGCTCGGGCAAAGGGGTTAGAAGACGGGGTGCAGAATGGAGACAGTCGGGGTTTTGGACACTTGTCATTTTTGAATCAAGGAATTGCAGGGCTTCCGGAGCAAGCCCATGTACTGCGTGCTGTTGAATGTTGGGGTGCAGCTGGACCTCAGCCAAACCCCCTTTCAATAGACCGAACATCTCGACCCGACAAGCCCAAAACGCAAAAGTAACGATGCCCCTGCGACTCCAGGCTTCCCGAGAGCCATTCTGCATCGCATGCACATACATACCGGTATACTCTGCATGGCGATATATAGGTGTTTTGATATGAGCAACGGTAAACTCGCAGGAAGGCTCGAGCTCTGCGCGCCGATACAAAGTCGAGGTGCATGGATCTGCATTGAGTGGTTGCTTTGTCTCACTTTTGGGCGGGGGGTGTCTCGCTGAGTGTGTAAAACTATGCAGTAGATGATGAATGCCGCGGTTTGTGAAATATTCTCATATTGCTCACAGCTATATCGCATGTGTCCTTAATGGCGCAGTGTTACATGCTTAAGCAGTCTTGTTCTCGGCTTCAGGCGTGAAAATTCCTGAACTTTCCGAAAAGATTCCGTGGTGCGAACGGGAGTGTTTGCTCATAAAGGGTTGAAGCATCCACGCAGTGTATCAACGGGGACTGCCGTTGTGATACAAGCAGCTGACAGGATGCACTAGCACTGGCCACCCTTCATCTGTCGAAGCTGATGAAGGCCTCGGCAGCTTTTGAGGAAGTGCAAACTTTTGAGACTGCTGGATTCGCACGACGACGGAACATAAACTGCAGATCAGGCACTTGCAGCCACACTGCACTACTCGTTCCGGTGTACGTCATAGCCAGCTTCCTTCAAGATAGAGCTCCCAGGCGATTTTCTCTTTGGCACTTCACCCTGAATCATGTCATGTGAGCTTTGTCGCAACTCGTTCGTTCCCTGCACCAGTGCATGGCCCGTAAATCTGCAAGAAGCCTTGCTGGTGGAGTGCTGCAGGATGTCTTGCGACAACATGCACCTGCGAGGTTGGGCATCACGAGCCTCTCAGCATTACATGGCTTTCAGAGAAGACGTTACGAGTATCTTCTTTCGCTGGGGGGGGGCACATTCTGTCGTTGATGATGATGATGTTGATGACGACGGCAGCGACGACAAGCATAGATCAGTTTCACCTTCACCCCGACCCCACCGAGACCTCACCCCCTCACCCGACCCCACACCCACCCACCCTCAGCCCAATCGCCACCTCCACCACTATCAGCAACATCATCACCATCTTTATCTTCGCTATTCTTCGCTAGTAACCGAGAAATGCAATAGGGTTTCAGAACGATAGCCCTATTTCTGCTCACACGTTGACATAGTGTTCTGTTGGTTACAACCACGTCCTTCGCTGCTTTGAGTAGAAAGCTCAACATGTGTATTGCTTCCACTTCACTTGGGCTAGAGGCTTCTCTCCGCCTTGATTGCATCGAGGTGAGGTTCCTGCCATCATACATCTTCTGGTCGTAGGTTCGCAATGTAGAGCTACGCCGCTTCGCACGAAGGTCTCAGGGACGTGGCCCGGCTACTGCAAGGCGCCGGACTTCCCGAGCAGAGGGAAGCACCGCACACCTAAACTGCATATTCCTTTAAAGAAGCTACATAAGCTGCACAGAACAGGGCGAAGCAAACGTATAGGCGTCAACGAACGTCAGCCGCAAGAATAGTCTTGGTCAGCCAGAGCTTGGCACAGCAACGCAAAGCTGCTGAATGAGCATAAGCGGACATAGTGGGCATGAGCTGCGGGGTCGCCAGCCATACTGTAACCGACATTTCACTTTACAGTCGAGACCTCTTGGGGCTCCGGACGTCTGGAGCCAGGCTCCTGTTTTGGGCATGGAGTCAGTTGTGGATCGGTAGATGTCAGATGAGATCACGTACAGAAGCTATGTGCAAGAAGCTTGAAGTGCCATCACTCCATCCCACTATTAAAAAAAACTACCACTGCCACTTGTCACTGCTACTACTGCGCCTGCTACGTTCTCCTCCTCTGCCTCCTGCTCCTCCTCTGCCATCGGCGCTACGACGAGTACTACTATGGCTACGAAAGCTGCTGCGAA